TTCTTTCTCACACATAGATGAAGTGCCAATGAATTTGTTTCTCTAGTCTACTTGGACTAACACATGTGTATACCTAGACACACAGGCACCTACATACTCAAAAGAGCAGAAGTGATATCTAACAAAAAGTCAATAGTCATTCTCTGGGTGAAGTTACTGTATCTTAACATTATTCGTTACGCTTTCATCCGTTTTTTTAATGAAAACGTTCTACTTTTATATTCAAAGCAAAATCACAAGCGTCACTCGGAATTCACATTGCAAGCGGCTGGTCTTCCTGGGGGCCAGAGAGTGTGAGCAAAAAAACCATCCACGGTCAGGTTAGTACAAGGGGCACAAGTCCCGCGGATCTACCACCCGCCTCTCAAATGTTCACACACTTGACCAGGCCTACTTCCTCTAGACTCTCCCTGGAGGAAATTCCCGAGGGGGGTAAATAACCAGATGAAATGGACAAACGAGGAGGGCTTGTTTGAAGGAAATACATAACCAGAGATGCCAAGAGGCCTGCAAAGGTGTTCATCGCTGAGCTATCAGTAATATGAACACGCGAGTACAGCTTTCGACCCACTGGCCACAGAGCACATGAGGATGTCTACTTCCTCCGAAGTGGATGGCCGATCCCTTCTCCGTGGTCTGCTCTTCATCTGGAACCCGTTCACTTTGGGTGACCCTGCTGGCATTTGAAATACCAGTGACAGCGCTTGCAGCGTCCCAGCCACACACCACAGGACGACAGACTGTCAGACAAGTGGAGCAGCACATCTGCTTGGGAAAATAGAGGGGTAGCAAAACGAAGAAGGCCCTCCACGTGATCGATGGGCACGGTGGCTGCCACCCGGGGCTGCAACATGAGGACCCCTGTGTGGATGAGGTCGGGTCGGCGGTGTTTCCTCTGCTGTGCCCGGGGAGGCTGTGGCCAGAGCAGACGCGATGGCACCAAACAGCAACGCCAGAGAGCGAGCGAGTGCCTTGTGGGGCACGTGTCTGCATTATCTTCTGTCCATCTGTTTTGGGAGATGCTTTAATGGCATCAGAAAGCATGTTTGCTAACTTGGGTTTTAGGAGCAGGATTAACACTGTACCTGAGATCTGATGACAAATACGGTTTAGAAGCGGATGGGTCTGCACGCGTGCACACATATGCCCGTGGTCAGCTGGAAGGAGCCCAGGAAGGGTGCGTGTTAAAGTAAGCAACATGTTTCCTAGCGATGGGCCTCGCACATCTGCACTGCAGGGTACTCGGGAGGCGACGTGAACAGTGGTTGAGCTACTGGCGTGGTTTCTACTTTATTCCACTGACCAGTCTGCCAGGAGGACACCTAACTTCTACAATCGGAAAACATGGCGCTTCTTTTCAAAGAAAGGAAGCCCGTGCCTTCCCAGGATGGAGGATGGCTCTCGGGCGCGGAGAATGAGCTGGCGGTGACCAGCGAGGCGCAGCTGCAAAGGCAGGTGGGAGTGAAGGGTGGGTGATCTGAGAGGCTCGGGGCCAGAACCCTCAGGATCTGCATGCAGGGTGGGGACGAGGACGAGGAAAGAGTCAAGTATGAGTCGAGGTTGTGGACCGGGGATGGCTACCAATGGTTCCTGCTGCACCGTATCCACATCAAGACCGAGGCGGACTTCTGAAGCCGCGCCATCAAGGATAGCGTGGGCTCTGTCTTCCTCTCTGTTGGCTCCCTTGGGAGCTAGCCACCACGTTGTGAGGATGCTCAAGGAGACCTCTGGAAGGTTCCATGTGGCAAAGACCAGAGGCCTCCTGCCAACGACCAGCAAAATGTGCTACGTGTCAGAGGGCCCCCTAGAAAACAGAGCCTCCAGTGCCCTAAGACTTCAGTGGAAGCTAAAAGCCAAACCCAAGCCGACTGCCACTCAATTCACTCTGGCGCACAGCAACCCTACAGGACAGGGCAGAACTGCCCCAGCGGGTTTCCAAGGCTGTGACCCCTAGGGAGCAGACGGCCTCATCTTCCTCCTGCAGAGTGGCGGCTGGGTTCAGGCCCTGACCTTTCAGTTATAGTTAGCAGCTGAGCTTTGAATCCACGAAGGGTCAGGGTGTGGTTAATGTGTAAAAAAAGGTACAAATTCCAGCTGATATATATAGCTATATATACGTATATATAGATGTACGTATATGTATATATAGATATATATACAAAACAAAACACTAAATATCATTTAAATGGGTTGTGAGGGGTTTTGTTTGTTTGGGGGGAATATTTCTATTTTACTTAAATCGTTTACCTTTTCATATTTTAAAGCACCACCTAGCTTTTCTAGCTTCCACCCGGGCTCCAAGCCATCGGAGCCTTGTCTATGTCATCACAAACATCAATGCAAACCTTACATAATACGCAAAATGTCCATTTCTCTGGAAGATATCAAAGAAACCAGGTTGCACAGGTCTGATGGTTGTGGCAGGACTACGCACAGCCTATCGGAAGCAAATTTCCAAGTCTAACTTCCAGGATGTCTGTGGGTGGGTCTGAACCACCAACCTTCAGTCAGTAGTCCAGCGCTTAAGCATGCACACCATGCAGGGGCCTGCAGTAGAGGGCACTATAGAGAGCGAGATGGGGAGCCGGGACGAGGGAGACGGGTTTGCTCCTGCCCATCTGTGCACTGTCCCTCCGGGCTTGGACTCTGCACTGGGTACTTGTGCTGTTTGCTTCCTGCCTTCAGCTGCCCGAGTGACCCCGTGTGCCCTCTCAGCCCTTCCAAAGAGATGGCAGTCCCGCTCTGTCCCCTGGGGTCGCTGAGTGCCACTCACCACGATGGCGCCCAATGACACCAACCAACCCGCTGAACTCACTTGCTTTCATTGGCATCACCGTGTGGTTTCCGCGATAGGAAATGGAAGCACACAAATGAACCCCGGCTCCTCGGGTGCCCTCGGAGAGGAGTCTCCTACCCTGTCCCTGGACGCCCCGCTTCCCCTGAGCCTCGCTCCTTCTGGGACTACTTTGCTCGTCCTCTTTCTTGCCAGTTCTGTACCTGGTGAACCAGCCCGCCTGCCCACCGGGAAGCATTTGAGGACTGGGGGTGAGGGTGGGGTTAGTCTTTTTAGCTGTTGTTGCTATGGTCTTTTGAGGATGCTTTTTTAATTTTGTTTTGTTTTTCAGGGAGGGGGTTGATTTTGGTTCTGAAACCTTGAGATAACAACACGAAACACAAACGTGAGCTGTGCTCCCTCCATTAACTATGGGTGGGTGTTGTGTGTGTGTTATCTTCCACCAGCAAACATGAAAACAATAAATAGGCCTAAATAAATAAAGACAGAAAATAATAAGTAGCATTTTGGTTTTGGTTTTTTTAAACACACACAGGCCAAAAAAAATTTTTTTAAAGAATGATGTTTGCTTAGCCAGGTTTTCATGACTCTAAAACCTTCCAGAAAGTCCCAGATAAGAAGACGATTATGCTCTGTCTCATTTCCATTACACGTGAACCTCCCCCCAGGAACCTACTGGACAGGAAGAATGATTGCTGCTTAGTGTGATGTCGATGATTCTAGAACTTTCTCTCAGGCCGTTCCTGGACAGGATGACTAGTTTATGCTTGAAATCCCCAGCACGCCAAGGGAGAGAGACTCCACTCCCACAGAGTCGCCGTCTCTGAAGCCACAGGGCAGTTCTCCCCTGTCCTGGGGGGTGGCTGTGGGTCGGCCCGGACTCGGTGGCCGTGGGTTTGGCTTTGGTTGAGAGAACCTTCTTTTAGAAAGTCGCTGGGTAAGCAGAGACCCCAGGAGGTGCGTTTCGCCTCTTTCCTACCTCGCTTTTTGTTTGAAGTGAGTCCCCAGGATAAATGACTCTCTCCTGTTCGCTTAGAAGAGGAAGTGGTGCTGAAAACATGGCAAGATGGTAAGACACACTCTCACACACACACATTACACATGTGCACACACACATGCACGCTTGCAGATACACAACATGCACAGGGCCTGGCCTGGGAACCAGTTTACCAACCTGAACCATTGCGACTCAGACTCCCAGCGAAGGGCGAGCAGACCCAGGGCGAGAGAGGCCCTCGCTGACAGTCCTGTTGTTGAGCTCAGAACTGAGATGAGGAATCCATGGACTACAGGAAGAACCCCCTCCCCTCTTTACTAAAGTCTTTTAAAAAAGCAATAAAACTTCCAGAGAGACCATGTGCTGCAATGCTGATAGTTCCTGGGTTACCAATAATTCATGCAATTGGTTATTAATGGAAAGTTTGGAGGGTCGAGTGTGCCCAGGGGCCTCTCAGAAGGAAGTCGTGGCCATCGAAAAGCCCAGAGAGCACTGTTCCTCTCTGGCTCACGTGGGGTCACCGCGAGTTGGAGCTGCTTGGAAGGCAGCTGACCTACGGACACTCAGTGAGGAAGTCCTTCCGCCCATCAACACATGCTCAGCGGAGGCTGACCTGGCTGACTGCCCCAGCTCACGGCCTGCTGTCAAGTCACGTGTAGAAGCAGGAAACTTTGTGGGGCCAGAGACTTGGAGAGATTTCCTCAGGTAGAGGAGGGGGTGGGGCCGAAGCAGGGCCAGCAGAGGTAATAAAATGCTGGATTAGGGAGAACTAGAAGACCAGGCCCACCGACTGAGCCCTGCAAATTCACCAGTCTGAAGTCCAGAAGCTTGACAACTCGGAGTACAGCGTTTCACTGCGGTAAGCCATTAACAAAGTACATCAGCAACAAAGTACGATACGGTCAAGCTTTCCTAAATCAGCCCATATGTAGACACACCAAAGACCAGGAATAGCTGCCGGGGGAGGAGGAGGAGGGGGCAGGGGAAGCCACTGTGCAGGGGCAGTGAGGTGAAGTGAATGGGGTGGGGTTCATTTGGGAGGAGATGTTGGGGGTGGCTGCCTCACCTGCAAAAGGTCGTCCGCACCACTGAACTGCACAGGAAAGAACACGCTTGACTTCGTAGATTTCCATATGCACGCGCATATGTGTGTGTGTGTGTGTACATAGACATTCATACACGACACACGTAGGAAACAAGAACACTTACCTTCCGTTGGAAATTTCTTAGCTCGTTCCTCAAAGAACCACTGTCCACTTTTGATTTTCACATTTCTGAAAAGAAAGCAGACGGAGCGGACATGAACGGCAGCACTGACCTCTGCAAGGAGCTCCGAGTTTAGTGTGGCCAGCCTCAGCCTCAGGGCAGGTGGGTTGCCCACTGCAGTTCAGGGATCGGTCCAGCTAGCGGCACAGCTCGGAGATGGGGGTGAGGTTGGCGGTTCAGAACCACGACCTGCTTGGAGGGAGGAGAATGAGGGCTTGTGCTCTAGGAATGATGTAAGCTTTGGAATCTCTGGAGAGCAATTCTGTTCTGCCCTGTACATCAGATTTGACTCAACAGCAGTGGGTTGGGGGCCCAGGCACCACGTAATGAACTCCTGGAAGAAGCCCCACCGCCTATTTGCAAATGCTGTCATTTCCCCGGCAGAAGAGAAATCGCTGTGGGGAAGGGCTTTGTAAATGCTAGCACACACACCTTCTGTAGCCCTCACCGAATGGTATTGTGGGTCACGTTAGGAACGCCATGCACGGGGCCAATACCCTCGCAGAGTGGCATTTTTATCTCTCATACACATGACTGGCCTATGGGGGTGGTTACCCTGTTGCCTCCCAAGCCCTAGGGTCTAAGGAGAGGCAGCCTGGTGGCCAGGCGTTCCCTGAAGATGAGCCCCGGAGAACCAGGATTAGCGGAAGGCCAGCTCCCATCCTGCTCGCCTGGCCTGGTCCGGAGGCAGAGCAGCAGCAGGACGTCAAGCGGAGCGCTGAGCAGCAGCAGGACGTCAAGCGGAGCGCTGCCTCACTCCTCCGTGCTCGCCTGCCCGGCAGCTCACAGAGTCGTCGGCCTGGACATAATCTCACTTCAAACAGTCTTCCGTCTAAGGCGCTTCCACGCCCCACAGCTCAACGGTGGGGTCGGCTCCCTGATCGGATCTCAACGTTCTTCTCGGAAAGAGGGCCCGATCATTGTGATTACACCCCGGGTGACGGGAAGAGGGGTCAGAAGGCGTGATGAAGATAAAGAGAAGATCGTATCAGGCTGCTAGCAATGGTTTTTGCAAACCATGAACCCCTCTCTTTCACTTCACCTCAGACACAAGCAGGAAATTCCCCTGCCAACTATCACCACCACCACCACCACCACCTTCAGAATGCTGCACTCTGAGTAGGATGGGCACGCTTGGCGGCTGTCTGGTGACCGCCCGGTAATGGCATCCCTAGCTGATGTATGTAGCACTTGACAGCTAACCTCAAGGTTGGCGGTTCGAGCCTACCTACGGGTGCCTGGTGATCTGCCTCTAGCAAACAAGCCCCTGAGACCCCGTGGAGCTGTTCGATTCTGCTCCCATGGGCATGGACACCAGAGCTGGTGTCGACTGGACAGTCAGTGGTTTGGGGAGCCGACGAATGCTCCCACCCCTAGATTAAAGGTTGGCTGGGCGGCAGCAGCAGACACTGGGGTTGACAGTGTCTCCTGCCCTCCGTACAGCACAGGGCCGTGGTGACTAAGTGGACTGGCTGTGAGACAGCAGGGAGGCTGGCAGCCGACGGAAGACCACGTGCCCGTCTGAAGGCATGGAACAGATCAACGTCCAATACTGCGTCGGTGAGCTGGTCGCAACCGATGGGCCCCCAGCTGTTGTGACAGAGGATGACCACAAGGCCACAAGATGAGGGAGAGTCCTCTGCCGTCGGGCAACACTGTCTCATCACGGGAGGTGATGAGAATGAGGGTGGAGGGTGGACACTCTCAGGTGTCTCTGGATGGACCCAAAGCCAACCCTTCACTTCCTGGAGGAGACGTCAGCTGTACGCGCTTCCCGGCCCGAGACGCTAAGGAAAGCTTGCTGTGTTGTTGTTGTACCCTGCCACCGAGTCAGTTCTAACACAGTGCCCGCCCGTGTAGCACAGCACCAGACACCACCTGGTCCCGCGCCATCCCCCAATTGTTCTCGGGTCACAGCCCACCGTAGCAGCCGCTGCGTCCGTCCGTCCGTCTGGCCCTGCTGCAGCTACCCACGAACTTTTCAGCAGCCGGTGCCTCAGAATCGGACGGCCCAGTCCTTCTCCACAGTCTGTTCTTAGTGTGGAGGCTCTGCTGAAACCCATTCACTTTGGGCGACCCTGTTGGTGTTTGAAATGCCAGGGGCATAGCTCCCAGCGCCCCAGTGCCACTGACAGATGAGGCGTAGGATATGGAAAATGTGGACGCAGAGCCCCGCTGGGTTCTGGAGGCTGTCAAGGGCTGCGAACCTGAAGAGTTGGATCAGTGCCTGGCTCAGTGGAGGCCCTTTTGGGTGATGGGCGAGATAAAGGCATGAAATATCCACGGCAACCAGAAAACCCATGGTGGAGGGAGGACGGTCACGTGTGCATTCAGCATATCCCCAAGAGAACCAGACCGAACCAGCACACTCCTAGCCAGCCTGTAGGACAGAGCAGAAGGGCTCTGGGGGTTCTAAGGCTGTCCATCTGGACTAGACGGGAGCCTGTCTCCCAAGGAGCAGCTGGGGGGTTTGAAGCATCAACCTTGAGGTCAGTAGCCCAGTGCTTCACCTGCTGTGTCACCCAGGTCCTTTCAGGAAGCCCAGGCCCGTGTGCGGAAGGAGGATCAGACCTGGTTGAGGAAAATTCCACTGAGTTTCAAAGGCAAACAAAGCCTCGCCGTGAAACCAACCTGGAGAGACTCCGAGGCAGACACACACCAGAGGGACAAAGATCGGACGCCCCCCGAACCACCTCACTCCTCTTCTCCCCAACCATGTCTGACAAACCCCAACACTGTTGTGGCTGAGACAGTCGGCACGGCGCAACGGAAGAGACGGAGAGCCACTCGAGGACCCAGCATGCACTGCACACGCCACAAGCATCCGTCTGTCTGTCTCCCTTCTTTGAGCTGTTTACCTCTGTGCGAGGCAACACAGTGGGACCAAGTGTAAAGGCTGGACTGCAAGAACTACTGACCACTCAGGCGGAGCCTGCCGCTTGCCAGGGGACGAAAGAACTTGCTCGCTGGTCAGCCACCGACAGAGTGGTGCCGACTCATAGTGACCACACAGGACAGGGGAGAACTGGCCCGTGGGCTTCTGAGACTGTCACTCTCTACAGGAGTGGAAAGCCCCCCCTTCCTCCCAAGAAGCGGCTGGTGGATCTGAACTGCTGACCCTGTCGCTAGCAACCCAGCATGCAGGCACTACGCCGCCAGGGCTCCTGGGTGGGAGGACAGTGAATATACCTGTAGAGTCAAAGCAAAGCTGGTCCCAGGGGTCCGGCAGGCATGAAACGCCGTTTAGTCAGGAGTGACGTTGTCGTCGTCATTGTTCAAATGATTTTCATCATTGGGATGCACAAGTTTAATATGCAAATAAAAGCTTTGAAATCTGGGGGCAGGGGAAGAAAACCCCCACGTTTCTAGCACATGGAAACCACGATCAATAAAGTTAATTGCAAAACTCACCTGGATGTCTCTGTAATATTAAAACCAACCAGTAGTAAATCAGCAGATTGAAAGGTTGGCCCCAGAAACCCTTTCCTACCCAGTGACGTCACTGGCAATGGCTTAGACATATGTCACCCAGGTGCTTATCTGGGGAGCAGGTGGGAGGATTCCTTGAAGTAGTGGTACTGGAGGTGATTTTAAAATGAGTCCACGGAATGAACGGAGAAATCGTGTCACCGAGATTGGCAGTAAGTGCTGGAATGGTTTCAAACACAGTATCGGGATGGTACAGTTGAGCTGTTAATGACGAAGTTCAAAACCACCAGCTGCCCCACAGGGGAAAACGAGGTGTTCTACTCCTGTAAAGAGTGACAGGCTCGGAAACCACAGGGGCAGTTCTCGCCTGTCCTGTAGGGTCGCTGTGAGTCAGCAGTGACTCAGTAGCAGGGAGCTTGGGGGTGATTTTTGCTCAGTGTCATTTGAAACAGCACCCAAATGCTAACGCACGGCCATTGAGTCACTGCCGACTCACAGTAACTCCAATAGAGCAAGGTATTGGGTTTCTGAGACTGTGACTCTTTATAAGAGTAGAAAGCCTCCTCTTTCTCCCTCTGAGCGGCTGGTGGTTTTGAACTTCCAACCTTGCAATTAGCAGCTCAAGTGGTAACCACTATGCCACCAGGGCTTAGCACAGGTGAGGAAAACAATGACTGAAGGCGAGGCTGGATGGTGTAAAAATGACTCATCGATGTTTCAAAAGGATTGACCAGATGAATAAAATCCGTTGGTCACATGTCCATCTGCTTATGTTTTATCATGGTCTCCAGAACCTCACTGTGAGGGTGAGTTTCTGATCCTGCTCTGGCACAGAGACCACTCAAGGATGGCTCTAACACACCAAAGGCAAATGCATTCTCTTAGAGTTGAGGAGGCTGGGAGTCTGAACTCAGGGCACCAGCAAGGCTTTCTCTCCCCGCAGCTCTGGAGCAAGGTCCTTGTCTCCTTTCCACATCTGTGGACCTGGCATCCCTCCAAGTCTTGGCACCAATCCTCCCCTGGGTCTGAGATGTCCTCAGCACAGGAGGGGACCCTGGATCCCAAGGGTACACTCTGCTCGTCCAGGTTGTACCTGCCTCATTAACACAGCTGCTTCTAATTCCGCCTCATTAGCTCCATATTGTTGTTAAACAAAACAAAAACCAAACTCACTGCCACAGAGTTGATTCCAATTCACAGGGACCCTTTGAAGGACAGGGTTGAACTGCCCCTATGGGTTTCAAGACTGTAACTCTTTGTAGGAGTCAGCAGTCTCATCTTTGTCCTGCAGGTCGATTCAAACTGCTGAACTTGAAGTTGGCAGCCCAGCATATAACCACCATGCCACCAGGGCTCTCAAGTTGGTTCAGGCTCACAGCAACCCTATGTACAACAGAACTGAACCCTGCACAGACCTTTGTTGTGGTAGCTACATCCTTTCATGTCAACTTGAGACATGAGTGGAGGGGTGGAGTCTAGCCTGTCAATCAGGTCACAGCCTGATGATGCTTCCTGGTGGCTTTCTCATGAGGATTCTGGGAACTTCCTCTCTTTTCCCCTGGAGGCGGGCCACACACGC